GTAACAAGAACAGATTCGGATGTTAGGCGCAAAAAAAAAGAAAAAGAAAGAAAAAGAAAGAAAAGAAAAGGGGTCTCATTATCTGGCAAGATAGCATGCGTATCTCGCTACAAAGCTGGCGTCTCAGCTCAAAGAAATCCGCGCTTGCAAGCAGCCCATATCGTAATTCAGTAGGAGAATGGCATATTGCAACTGACCAGGATCCACTTAGACCCTCGAAAAGCTGAAGGGCGAGGTGAGAAATATGTGCAATGTTTGTCACTCACTTGACCGCTATGGCTGGGCGGATCACGCAAGCGCCTGGTATTGATGTCAACATTTGACCCTGGAAAACAATACCTATACGGAATAAGAGCGGGAGGATAGCGGAATATGGTCAGGTGAATATGGCAGCATAGCCTTTGGGAACCACCGCAATTCCTATTATATGGAGTTCCACTCCGTGGTAGTTAATGGTCCAGGAGAGGGATAAACTTACTTTGTCACAGTATTAATTGATTAATGAATCCACCATCTAATACAATCAAATTTCAGAAAAGCTATACAGGAAATAGGAAAAAGAAAAAAGAAAAAAGAAGAACGCCTAATTGTTTTATAAACTGTTCTCTATGCTGAAGGCATGTGCAAGAAGAAGCATGTTCAGGAGTGTCACATATACTACTACACTGAGGTGCTGCATACATTTTTAGGATCATAGATCAGATTGCTCAATTTCTTCACTTTTTCTCTTCATTGAATCTTTATGATTCATCTCTTCTTGAACAGTTAAACCTCTTATAAATGTATGGTATATTTAATACTTTCTCTTTTATTTTTTCTTTGTCAGAAAAGTAATTCTATAATCTGACATCTTGTGACTATCTGATTTAGAACTAAATTGATTACACAGAGTAAACTCTGCATATAATATTTGAAATATTTTTTGATTTTCTTATTGTAACTTCAGTTGTTGTTATACATTATAAGATATAATGAATAACTTAGGAGACTTATATGAAAAATTATAAAAAGATAAAGATATTTATGTATGTAATGGGCGTGCTAACTGAATGCAACCCTAGCACTTCATTATGAGACCAAAAAACGAATTCGTTAAAGAAAGGAAAGGAGAAAGGAACCTAAGGAGGTGTTATACAGGTCAGGGCGGAAGAAGGATAATCCGGATGTAAATGAAAGTAATTCAACTGGGCGTTAGCCCTAAATGTTATTAAAATAAGAAAGATTTACTTTAACATATATAAAGTTAATCTTCAAAATTACTTTAAACATTACTTTAATCTAAAGCCTCTATGAGTTAAGAATAAATAATTAATAAATTTTATTTTCTTTCAATTTCTTTTTTGGTTTTAAAAGAGGTAAATAATATTAATAAGTAAAAAAATTGAAAATAAAATATAATCTATAAAATAATAATTTTAATATATTTTTTAAATTTTTATACAATATAAGAGAGCTGAGATTTTAACTCAAATAATAGTTAAATAAATCAATTAATTTAGGTTTATTTTAACAAAAAATAAGACAATAAAATTGTGTCAAAATTGCATGTAATTGTGTCAGGTTTTGCGTGTAATGCGTATAAGGATTGCGTCAGGATTTATTTAATTAGTCAGCACAACATTCTCTTTCTGTTAAAAATCACCTACTTTCCTAGCAGTAATAGTTCGAAGATAGATGCAGAGAATATACAGCTCAACTTGATGCAACATTAGCTCTTGAGATATCCCGACAAATTGGTATAATTAATTAATAAAAAATGATTATCAGTTTCTTAAGAGAACAATACTCATTTGAAAAGATTTATCTTATTCATTCAGAAATAAACCTTAATGAGTAAGATCTGATTTAGTGAAGATTAGTTTTAATTTCTAGACTGAGAATCTCTTCATGTTGTCAATCTATTAAAATTAAGTGAGTAACATCATAAACGTGTGCAGAAGCTTAAACACTTGAAGTTTGATCTTTTTCTAAAGCTTCAAGCTAATAGAAATTCTACCTTCCTGATGGAAGGCTTGACTGCCTATTGTCGTTGACATATTGACATGCAGGGTGATGAACGTGTTGCAGGGTGGAGAAGTGGACAGGAAGTGGAAGCGAAGGGGAACGGCGTAAGTCTTCAAGAACACCAGCTCTTAAAAGCCTCATTTAGCCATGGGGGTGTTTTCGCGCATCACCGTTGAGGAGATATAGTAATGGAGGTGCCTTAATCATTTTCTATCATTCATGTATCAGTTCACGTCTTTCCCCATGCATAACACCAATCTTTTCGAATTGATAGGCCTAATGACGCCATCCATGAATTTACGAAGCGAATTGTTCATAGTTAACAGAAAGTCGGTGGCTTCAACCTCTCTAACACGAAAGCTAGGCTTTTAAAATCAGGCAAGAGATTCAAAGGTCATATAACTGGAGCCAACATCATATTGCGGCGTAATCATAAATTTTTAAGCCACGTGTTCCGTGAAAAGTGTACGGATTCTTTCTTTACTAACACTCATTTTAGCTTTAAGCACCCGGTATCACACTGTTCATCCCATAGTAGTACCAATTCGCCATTCGCCATCCACACCCATCAATCCCCAGCAACCGTGGATAAAAGAAAAATCATAATGAAACAGAAAACTCCAGAGTCACAATGTGCTAACATCATTTCCTTCATGGAGCCGGGGGAGGTGCCATATTGCTTCCGCCAGCATCGACCCGCTTTTTTTTAGATGGCAGCTCTGGAACTTTAAATTCACCATTGGAACCGCCCGTAGTGCTGCTTCCAACCTGTGTAAATGTTCCGCTTTTGAACCACCTATCCTCCTCGGCTTTTCGCTTCCTGTTAAGCTCGGCTTGGGCTTTCGGATCGACGAGCTCTAAGCCTTGCACAGGGGTAAAGGCGATTGAACTAGCTGTTCCAGCACCAGCACCAAGCGAAGGTCCAACCCCAGCAGTCCGGAGCCCCTGTGCCCGCAATACGCTTGCATTACCTGCACCATGACCAAAGCCTCGCAGTGAGGACGCAGTTCCTCCGATTGGGGTGGCAGCTCCCCATCCCTTGTTAGGTTTGCTGAGTTTAGCCTTGGTTCTCTGGTCGATTTGGTTTGCACGAATCCTGCCATTATCTTGTTGACCAAGCATGCCCAAGCCTTTCGTACTCTCTCCAGTTCCGTAACCAACTTCCTTTTCTTCCTTTCCAAAAGCCAAACGATTCTGTGCTTTCCGGATCTCTGTCATTGCTGTTGCCTCTTTCACCTTTCGTGCTCTTCGTCCACCCCGCTTTCTTGATGGTTTATCATCAGGCGCCGGTAGAGCTCGAGGCCCTTTATTTGGAGCAGGCTCAGTTAGCTTCTCAAGCCGGTCCAAACAAGCTTGCTTCAGCTCTTCTCCCGTAGATCCATCCGGACTACTGTGCACCCGATCAACCCTGGCTGCCAAAACTACTTTGGCGGATACGATGCGCATCGCTTGTCGCTTAAGGTCGTTTGGGATTCCCTGAATGATAGGCGAGTGGTAAAGAAATCCTTGATGTCTGACACCTACATTAGTTGCGAAACCCGTCCCTGTTTGTTTCTTTGAACCCAATGGTGGAATATTGCAGGAAGGGGTCTTCGCTAATCCTGTAAGGCCTCCAGCGTAATTGAGCAGCTGCGCTGCAGTAAGCGACCCAATAAGAACAGTTAAATTTGGTGCAAAGATATTCATTCGAGATTGCACATAGTTGGTTAATATAGCCTTGGCACGGTCGAGGGATAACATCATTTTGCATGCGTCTAGAACAGTCTTGAGTTCAGATTGAGACAGCTCTCGTCCTCGCGTTGTTGTTCCCTCGACTGCGATGATCATCAATGAAGGCCCGTCAAGAACAGATCTCAAAGTAGCCCCAACCAAGTTATCTGAAGAGGTTGACAAAGATTTGATATCGTCGAGGGGTCCATTTTGTAAAATCGCAACAGTCTTCGCGTAGTCTAACGGGTTTGTCACCAAAGTCTCCAATTCCGGAAATCTAGTTGAGTAGTGATCCCGGATGAATTTATGGACAAGAATGATCTCATTATCGATCGAGGTTGAAAGAGAGTTTGCTTCCGTAAGCAGATGATATTCAGGATTATCCTCAATCGAGCCGACTGAAGTCGTTCTTTTTTCGGGTGGTATCGATTGGTAATGGGATACTTTCTACCGTGCGAAAAGGGAGAAGTCAGGTCTATTTATCCATAGCATCCAATGTAAACACAAAACATCGCAAAGAGATGGAAGATACGGAGTTCAAAGGGGAGAGAATCTTTACATCTAAAATCGGTTGTAGAGTCTTCATTAAGTTTGCCACGCTTCGTACATCGCTCACGGTCCCAAAGCGCATTTTATCAACCTTTGCCTTGGTCGCCTCAGCTTCTCCCATCTCCTGGGTCAGTTTCCCATTTGGATCTATAACAGCATCCCCATCAGCTTCTTCGTCATCCACCTCCTCTTCATCCCCGTCCAGTTCCATCTCTTCACCCCGAGTTTCAATACCGCCATCAAGACCAGCTTGTGTGACGCCATCCTGGAACAAATCGTTGGCTAGTTTGTGTTCATCCTCAGAACCAGAATCCTCAAAATCATTCAAGAGCTCGTCTGCTAAAGTCGCCATGATGGTCTTCAGCTATGTCGAATATAAAATCCCTTGGATCGTACGCAGACGTGTTCCTGTGCATATGAAGATAGAAGTCGTGAAGAATGAAGCTTGCTTGGGTCGGAGCTCAAAATCTTGCGCCACCGAGGTGGTCAGGTGACCGGTTCACGCCAAAAGCGGCTATCAATATTTCTTTCATACAACAAACTCCTCTCTTGTCTATGTATCATCATCTTTACGACAACACTAAATCCTCTAACTGTGCAAATAAACTCTGTTTTATACTGGAGAGGTGGGGTTGGGCGATTTTTCCGTGCTACCAGGACTGTAGATAGTGTGACTTATTCGCATAAGTTTCAACAATCTTGAGATTTTTCCCCGGCCCTTCAACCATCATCCAGCATGGAAGCTTCACGAGGCCCTCCGCGGGTCAAAAACAAGGCCCCAGCGCCCCAGCAGATATCCGCTGAACAGCTTCTCCGCGAAGCTGTGGACCGTCAAGAACCCGCCCTTCAAGCTCCTACACAGCGGTTCGCCGATCTCGAAGAGTTACATGAATACCAAGGCCGGAAACGCAAGGAGTTCGAGGATTATGTGCGACGCAACAGGATTAGCATGAACAATTGGATGAGATATGCACAGTGGGAGTTAGAACAGAAGGAATTTCGACGTGCGAGGTCAGTGTTCGAGCGGGCCTTGGACGTCGACCCAACTGCTGTGGTATTATGGATACGTTATATCGAGGCGGAGATGAAGACGAGGAACATCAACCATGCCCGGAATTTACTTGATCGCGCGGTGACAATTCTCCCACGGGTAGACAAGCTTTGGTATAAATATGTCTATATGGAGGAGATGTTGGGTAACATTCCGGGAACGCGCCAGGTGTTTGAGCGATGGATGTCATGGGAACCCGATGAAGGTGCCTGGAGTGCCTATATTAAGCTTGAAAAGCGATACAACGAATTTGATCGAGTTCGGGCGATTTTCGAGCGTTTCACTGTTGTCCATCCAGAGCCGAAGAATTGGATTAAATGGGCACGGTTTGAAGAGGAGTATGGAACCAATGATATGGTGAGAGAGGTCTACGGCCTAGCCATTGAGACTTTGGGCGAGGATTTCATGGATGAGAAGCTTTTTATTGCCTACGCACGCTATGAAGCTAAGTTGAAAGAATTTGAGCGTGCCAGAGCTATCTATAAATATGCGCTTGACCGACTACCACGTGCGAAATCTGTTGCTTTGCACAAAGCCTACACCACCTTCGAAAAACAATTCGGTGATCGGGAGGGCGTTGAAGACGTCATCCTTTCTAAACGAAGGGTTCAGTATGAGGAACAAATCAAAGAGAGCCCGAAGAACTACGATATCTGGTTTGACTTCGTCAGGCTAGAGGAGTCTTCCGGAGATGTGGAGCGTGTGCGGGATGTCTACGAACGTGCCATTGCTCAGATGCCCCCCTCGCAAGAAAAGCGGCATTGGCGTCGATATATTTACCTTTGGATATTTTACGCTCTCTGGGAGGAGCTTGAAGCTAAGGACATGGAACGTGCGCGTCAAATTTACCAGGAATGTTTAAAGTTGATTCCCCACAAGAAATTCACCTTTGCGAAGATCTGGTTGATGAAGGCACAATTCGAAATTCGTCAAATGGACCTTCAGGCTGCTAGAAAGACACTTGGCCATGCAATTGGTGCCTGTCCAAAGGATAAGCTATTCAAAGGCTATATTGACCTAGAGCGGCAGTTATTTGAGTTTGTTCGATGCAGGAAGCTCTTTGAGAAACAAATTGAATGGAGCCCTTCAAATTGCCAAGCATGGATCAAGTTTGCGGAGCTCGAACGAGGGCTTGATGACATTGATCGAGCACGCGCCATATACGAGCTGGGTATCTCTCAGCCTGTTCTCGACATGCCCGAGTTGCTGTGGAAGTCATATATTGATTTTGAAGAATATGAGGGAGAGTATGATAGAACAAGGGCACTCTATGAACGCCTCCTCGAGAAGACGAATCACGTCAAAGTCTGGATCAATTTCGCACGATTCGAAATTAATGTACCCGAAGGGGAAGAAGAGGAAGAGGATGAGGAAGAGAAGCCAGTTAGTGAAGAGGCGAAGCGCCGGGCCCGAATGGTCTTTGAGCGGGCGCATAAAATATTTAAGGAGAAGGAGATGAAAGAAGAAGTATGTTTTCGTATTTTTGTTCACCTCCCCTCCCCCACTAACCCCCCCCCCTTCTTTTTCCCCACACACTTGTCTTCTCGTTCAACGTGCCAATTATGCGAGCTAACACGTTTTTCTCAGCGAGTCGCTCTTCTCAATGCATGGAAATCATTCGAACAGACGCACGGATCACCAGATGACATCGCCAAGATCGAACGACAGATGCCTAGCAAGGTCAAGAAAAGACGCAAGCTGGATGATGATCGCTATGAAGAATACTTGGATTACATGTTCCCTGCGGATGACGAGTCGTCAGCTAAACTGTCACAGATTCTTCAGATGGCGCACAAATGGAAGAAGGAGCAGGCGAGTAAGGCCAGTAAGGAGACGTGAAAGGGTGTCTAATGGTGCTTGTTGGGTTGATGTTTTTCTGGGGTTTTTTTGCTTTTTCCTTTTGGCGTGTTTTCTATGAAATTGCTTCAGGGGTCTGTTAACTGGAAATGTATATTAAAGCGTTACATGTACTGCTAGCTTTGTCATGTCAGAAAGTCCTTAAACATCGTCTAACGGGTCTTTCATTTCGCTACTAATTTTATGGCGAATCATCATCATTTACATAACCACCCTTCAGCATCTCGTGCCTTCGCAGCGAGGTGTGGCATATTAAACACCCGACCAACCACACACCAGGCCACAACGAATGGATAATACATGCCCATCTTAATTCATTATTTAAGCCCCCTTCTTCGGCAAGCATTTGTCAAACAAGGATGCCTCTCCAGCTCGTAAACTGCTGTGAGTAATAGCGGCAAGCACCCACCCACGACGCCAACCTATTCGACGCCTACTGAGTCATTGTTGCGAAGCTCCGGCGAACCACCGAACAAGCCAATCGACAGCACGAAACGGACAACAGCCTAACAAGATTTTCAGGCACAGCTACCCCATTGCGACAAAGTGTACTTGTACCGTGTGGGATGCACAATGACGAATACGTAGGAACCATCGAGCGGCTTTTCGCATCTCGCTCATCCAACTTGTTAAAAGTATACCGCCGTTGCCCAGACTCTGCAAAGAGCCAATTTGACACTCTTTCACATCGTATTCTGCAAAATAAGCATAGGTTCATGTAGTCATATATCGAAATGGATCTTTGATCCTTATCTCAAGTGGGCATTAGTCAAATATTCCGTCCGGAGCCGGGGCATACCTATCAAACCCTACCCTCCCAGCTCCATTTCCCTCTCATATAACTAGCATAATCATTGCCCAACCATTCATTCTGTCCGTCGACAAACTATATATGACCAGCCTTGTTGGATGGTGCTGTTAAAATCTCCTGCATTCAGGCGCAGAGGAGCTGAAGGCAAATTTAACTGAACTGCGACAACTCTAAGCATCCATTAGGCCGTTATTAACCGCTGGTGGCGATAGATTCTTCAAAGCTTTTCATTGCGAAAGCAATCGAACAACACAAAACATTTCCTCTGGTTGGTCGGGCAGATATTTACCTCATATTGAGTTCAGAGCCTTTTTTTTTTTTTTTTTTCTTTCATTTTTTTCCCCCCACCTGTCAGCTGCCATCGGGTACGACCTGTATCCATTCCGCTGCCATCAGCAGAGACTGGAGCTAAAAACCTCTGCAGCCAGCTGGGATGAATGATGTTTACCAGAACTTCAGAACTTGTAAGTTTTCTTGCTCTTTTTGTGGGTTTTGTTCAGCGTAGTCTTTTGTGCAACGAGCGTGGGTTCTCGTTGGTAGATCCTCCAGCCTCGATGGAGAATCTCGCTAGCTGGTACTGATGAGACGAAAAGAAGCTGGGAAATGCGCATCTTCCAATTATTTTGTCTCATTTTATCTCTCATCCCACCCCGCTTTCTGTACAACCCTCCCTTTTTTTTTTAGTTATGCGTGACATGGGAACAAGAGACAAAACTATTCAAACCTCCCCCACTCCCGGCGGCAGAAACACAAAATCTCGAAAAAAAGGGGGAAAAGAAAGAAAAGAAAAAGAAAAAGAAAAAGAAAAAGAAACTCAAGAACGAAAAACAGGGCATTTTGTTTCCTTTCCATTTTCTTGCTTTCTTACCAATTTTTCAAGCGATCGATGGAGGGCACTTGCGGCACGGTGTTATGGCCCGTCCATATTCGCGGCAGACCCAGTCGGACCGGTTATGTCCTGTGTTCAACAAGAGCGAGAAGAGAAAAAAAAAAAAAAAAAAAAAAAAAAAAAAAAAAAAACCCTCTCTGTCTCCCAGGTCCCTCAGGACTCAGTCTGTCAACAGCCCACAGTGCTCAAATTGTGATTTCGAATGTGGGACCTTGGTTACACCGCATTCTATTTTGATCCATTTTTTTTTCTGTCCCAGATTTCCACCGCGCAGGGGGGGGGGGGGGTGTTTCGTGATGGTGTTACCCGTTTGCAGAAACCTTGGAAGCGATTAACACCCATGGATCGATACTATAACACGGAAGGACTTGGTTTGTCAGGATGGGATTTCATTCTCCCCTGTTTACAATACTCTCTGAAGATGAGGTCCCCCCCGCCTTTGCTGTCTTGTTGGATTTTCCTTCGGATATTTGAATAGAATCTAGATATATATTCTTGGCCCATGAGTGGGTAGATAAGTGCTCCACAATAGCGGGTTAACTATTTAATAGCAGGTATGGATCCTGTCAACGCTGCGCTCCCGCCCCTTGTTTGCGCATTGTCGGGGATCCAAGAGGCGTCCCGAACTTGATCAGGCAGGCAAATCACCTACCTACATCCACACATTCTTGCATGCTTCGAGTGAAGATCACGATCATGCCAGTGTCCCTCAATGGTTTAACTACTGCGTCGGCTGATATAAGC